CTCATAACTTTCATTCTCTCAAACTCAAAACACTCGAAAGATCTTTACACTAGCTTTTAGCGTAGTGCACAAGAGATTATTATGCAGTTAGAGCGGACGAATGGACTCTGTTCTGTAGTGTGGGGTTGTCTCTTCGATCCGTTTTTATCTTTTCAACTTTTGAGAGTGGTAGTTACTATTGCTTATTAGAGGGAATTAAATTTGGGCTTTTGCTGCATGCATAGGGCAGCGGCCTCCGGAGTTTCGGTAGCGGTGGCTGAGGTAAAAGAAATACTAAATAGAGTGAAATGCGATTTACGACAGACCTTTCCGTGGATTATTCTCTTAAGAGGTGGATCTCGAATATTGTACTTCTAAGTAGCTGAATCTAAAGGGCACATGTTGTTTTGTATCCCATTAAATTCCCAAAATCAGAGTGTACTTATTGGTGGAGTTATGGTTGATTGAAAATATCCTCACTTTTGTGACGAATTCTTTTTCTCTGCAGTTTAAGACTTTGCAGTACTTAACTGTGTAGGATCCTACGTAGGAGAGTCCTGTAAGATCCTACGGAACACTTGCGAAGCACCTCTATTGCTCTGGACCTCTGTGGAAACTCGAGTCGTGCTACTTTTCGTCTCCTAAATCCTTTTGATCGTCTCCTATTTAATGGATTTCGAAACGGATCGTCTCCTAAATCTTTTGTCTCCTCTTAAAACGTCTCCTATTTTCAACGGATCGTCTCCTACTAGTATGCTCAACGGATCGTCTCTTAAGTGTACCATGTAAACTGTATGGTATCGTCTCCTAAATCTTTCGGATCGTCTCCTATTTCGAAACGATCGTCTCTTAATTGGAATGTCTCCTACTGAATCGTCTCCTAAAAATAGGAGACGATTGCTTTCGTCTCTTAAATCATTTCGATCGTCTCCTATACCTCGGTGTATCGTCTCCTAAGTATTTTGCCACGAATGACGTTTCCACAGAGGTCCAGGTACTGAAGCTACGTAGGATCCTACGTAAGAACCTCTATTAATTACACAGTCTTAATCTTCACCCGGTCTTAAAATGACTATTACTCTAGATAATGAGGGGGGCGAAGCTGGACCTCTGTGGAAACTCGAGTCGTGCTACTTTTCGTCTCCTAAATCCTTTTGATCGTCTCCTATTTAATGGATTTCGTCTCCTAAAAATAGGAGACGAAACGGATCGTCTCCTAAATCTTTTGTCTCCTCTTAAAACGTCTCCTATTTTCAACGGATCGTCTCCTAAATCTTTCGGATCGTCTCTTAAGTGTACCATGTAAACTGTATGGTATCGTCTCCTAAATCTTTCGGATCGTCTCCTATTTCGAAACTTTCGTCTCCTAATTGGAATGTCTCCTACTGAATCGTCTCCTAAATATAGGAGACGATTGCTTTCGTCTCTTAAATCATTTCGATCGTCTCCTATTCCTCGGAGTATCGTCTCCTAAGTATTTTGCCACGAATGATGTTTCCACAGAGGTCCTGTGGTGGCGGCAGTATGCGTTGCCATGTCACCCATAAAATCAGTACTGTAGGAAACACGAGCGTCACCAATCCGCTGTAGAAAAGCTATCAAAGCGGGTCCTAAAGTTTTCAACCGCCCCAAGAATCGAATCTCTGCTGGTAGGTCCGATTGTGATGATTCGATTCTGATTCTTATCATGGCATTGTTGTGTGTTTTGCCGTTGCCTCCTTCAGTTAGTTTGTGTGCCCGTGGAATAAACAGTGTGGAATGGACAGCTGCATCAGCTCGAACCGATAAAACATCCTTGTACAGTACGACAGCAAAGCATGAGGATTGCACTAGAAAGCCCGCTGCATCTTTGGATCTTAGTTACATGTAGTAAATTCCATCACGAAAGAAACCATTATAGTTGTTATAGTTGCAAGGTTGTTTCTGTGGGGAGTGGCAACTGGGAATACTTTTCAATATCAAACACAAATCTCTGTGTCCCAAAGTTGACGGAACAAAACTCTTCTTGGTCGTGAAGACAAACGGCGAAATAGCAGTAGGTGCCCTTGGCGAATCCAGGACATGTGCGTGCGGACGCTTCCGAGCTTTCTCCCGTCATGGAAATGGTCCCTACCAATTTGCCGTTTTTGGTAAAGAAGAGTTGATTATTGCTGTTGTTGTTGTTGTTGTCATCCACTATTTCAACGCCAATGCCAATCACATCCGGTTGTAGAGGAGCATTGCTAGTGTTGTTTTCCTCGACCAAATCGGGATCGTATCCGTAGGAAGGACCAAATTGACGTCCATCTTCCTCGGAACAGCAAAAGATGTATCCGGCATCGCCGTGATATCCAATCGATCCGGGAGCCCAACCAATGTGTGCATTGAGGGCTTGCCGTCCAAACGTTCGCGGTTGTCGACCCGACGACACCAATCCACAACTGCCACCACCGCGGACATACAATTCAATGTAGGCAATACTACGCCTGTTGGAAAGTGGAAGCGCCATGTCCCGGACATGCCGTTGAAAGACAACGGCACTCATGGAACCAAACAAAACGGTGTACTGCGTCGGAGGGCGTGTGGTATTGACAATGTCGAGCATGCCCGGTTGTGTTCCTGCAGCGATTTGAAGTTCGGTTGGTAACGCACGAATGCAGGGGTGTCCGGGTGTAAAATAATTTGCCGATCGTTGTCGTTGGAGGACCAACTCTTTCCAGGAAAACGCATCCAATGGGAGTTCCGTGTTGCTACATGTAGTCCCCTGAAGCAGCGCCTCGAACGACGGGGGCGTCACAAACTTGGCTCGATACTTGGTACAATAGAGGCAGTACCACAAAAAATTTCCGGGTGCATGGTTCGATGATGTCCGCAACACGTGTCGAAAGCCTTTTGAGACTTGGCTGCAAGCGACCAGGTCTCGACTATCGAGCCATTGAAAAATCTCCACGGAAATGTCGTCTCGTTCCAAAATCAGAAACTTTGAGAACACGCTGTCACCTGAAGGCATCTTTTGAGTTTTGTCCTTTTGTGCTTCCTCACTACTACTACCGGTACTACTACTGATGCTTGTCGGTGACTGTGGTTTCTGGCAATTTCCCATGAAATACTGCACGCCGAGAAGAACCAACAAAAAGCTCGATAGAATAAAAGCTAGCGGTGGGAAAAGCACTTCTGATACTACACTGCTGTGGAGGAAATGATGAGCCAGTGATATGGATATCAAGAGTGCTACAATGCCAGTCGTTCCCTCCTTCATGCTTATCCTTGTTTCATGCTCTCCATCACCATTGCGTGTGTCCTTTGTCGTAGTCCTTTTCCACGAAACAGAGAGCTGCTTCCGTCAGGAGGATAGCTTACGTCATCCGTTATCAAAAGGAATAGACCTCCTGGATGGCAGTTTGTAGCCTCAACACTAAGTATTCGGTGATGGTACCGGTATGTTTCAGACGTGGATACCAAACTTTCGGACTTGGTCCGAAACGAAATAATATTTCCCAGAGACACGACCTTGCTTCCGAATTGACGCACAAGATCTCGTTCGCTGCAAATTGCAAAGATACATGCATGTACATGTACTTCTTCCCCTCCACCTTCTTCAGCTATTGTCTGCTCGGGACAGTGGAGCTCCACAAAGCTATAAAAGGAGGAGGCTGATTGCATGATTAGTAGCTTGCTGTAGGTACGGTAGCACAATGGCGCAAGTTTTGGCTGGGCGAAAGCCATTGCTTCGATCTCCTAGGAAAAGGAAGCAACGGAAAGGCTGGCAGGTTGGGCTAATGGTGGTCGTTATTGTCGTGGGAATAGCAGCAGGGACTATATTGCTGGTATTGATGAAGGGATTCGACAAGAACATTCTGGACTCTTCCTTATTATTGGTGGAACAACAGCAAGAAGACTTGAGGAGTATCCTAAAGGAATTCAAGACCATGAGGGACACTACCGTCGATGCCGTCACGGCTGGCTTGACGAATATTGGCATGGACAATGACAACGACAATGACAATGACGAAGAAGATGATACCAATGACGGAGTGAAAAAACACAAGAAGAACAAGAAAGCGGACTGGGAAATTGCCTTTGACAAGGTCATGCAAGATGCCAATCGTACTCTGCACAAAGCAAGGGCCATTCGCAGTTCTGTCACTGCTGCTACCGGTAGTACTACCGGTACTCGTGGCGATGCAGGAGGTTCCACCACCACCAACATTTGGGACAACTCCACAATCCTGCCCGATTGGCTCAAGGAATATTTTGCATGGCACAAGGAACAGCTCCAAATTCTACACGACACGTGGAAGCCTAAATTGATCTTACAACGCGATAATGCAGCCTCGCTCTTATTGTGGAATCAGGCATTGGATGGGAGCATCCACGACCACAAACACCGCTTCTTCATTGTGCGTTGCTTTGCATTTGATCGAAGTTGTGGAGGATTGGCCGATCGATTACTGCCACTCCCGTACCTGCTGCAAGTGGCACACAACACTTCCCGCATCCTATTCATTCAATTTGAAAAACCAGCGCCATTGACATCCTACATGGTTCCACCGCGGGGTGGGTTGGATTGGAGAATCCCCTCGTGGCTCTTGCCCGCCCTCAACTTTACCGGTGAAACACGACGATACAAGGGTGTGACCAATCTAGAATGGCATGCCAGTAATCCCAATGAAACCATTGTCTGTTCCGTGCTACAAACGTGGCACTATGGAAGTCAACCCTACAATGAGCACCGCAGGGGCGACACAGAACCCAAATTCAAATACGTCGTGAGAGATGTGTGGAGGACTCTCTTTACACCGACGCTGTCGTTGCAGCAGAAACTCCAACAGCAATTACGGGACCTGCAACTCCGCGAAGGGCACTACACGGCCGTTCATTTGCGACTCTTATACGCCATGGGAGCCGACGAACGCTCGAGCGAAGACACCATTCGATGGACGCGAAACGCCATCAATTGTGCTTCTAATTTAGATCATGGACCTCCCTATTTTGTCGCATCAGATTCGCACGAGGCCGGACGCGCCGCTGTGGAATATGGAATGGAACACAGCATGCCCAATAACAACAACAATCAAAGAATGATTGTGGCTCGACTTGCTGCTACCAACAACAATAATAACACGACACCCTTTCATTACGATCGTATCCCGGTACTCAAGGACGATCCCGAACAAAAAGCGGCACCCTATCACGCTTCCGATTACGATGAGACATATGTCGATTTGTACCTGCTGGCCATGGCACAATGTGTGTCGTATGGCGTGGGAGGATATGGAAAACTGGCATCCTTCTTGTCCTACAACAGTTCGTGTTCCAATCTGCATTTCAAAAAACGAATGATGCAATCCTGTCTTTGGTTGGATCATGACGTTCATGACAACAATGACAATCGTGATGACAACAACAACAATCTGCCGCTGTCCATGCCGTCCTTGTTGTCGCCGCCCATGGACTAGTCAACCTACAAGATGCAATCGTGTGTCACAAGACATTATGATGTCTTTCCGGCCCATACATTGGTCCATTGCATCTGATTCCGTGATTGCAAACTTTTCCCCAGGGAAATCGGTTAATTAAATCACAAAATGCTTAAAACTTAAAAATGGCGAACGAATGAAAAGCGAGAATGCGAGGTCTTCCTTGCTCCCGGACTCCATCTGAGGTCGCAACTGCGGATTGAAAAGAAGAAAAAGGCCCAAAATGATGCTGTGCACATTGAGAACGAGGAGATACTACATTCGCTCGCACGTGGTGGTTCCAAATGTGGCTACATACACTGCGCCTAAAGTGATGTGTCTCTCCGGCTTCCAACCGAAGCGTATGCCCGAACGTAGGTCCCAATATTCATGCACGAGTCCGATCATAGCTGTTCTCCAGCAAAAGAAGATTTGCGGGCATTCTATGGCGTAGACCACGATAATGGCTTGATTCGATTCAATGCTCTAATTGTGCGACATGATTGAATTTAATAGTTTGGCATTGGCATCATTGCATCACCTCATTCAACGCTGCCACAGTTTTGGGTACGTCATCGGCATTGGTAACGGCGCCAATGACAGCAATGCAATCTGCTCCCGCGTTTCGATTTTGCTTGGCAGCTTCCACCGTGTTGATTCCACCAATAGTCACAAATGGAATATGGGGAGGAATCAGCTTGCGCCATCTCGCCACAATTTCCAATCCTTGCGGTTCAAACTGCACCTTTTTACTCGCCGTGGCAAACACCGGGCCCAAACTAATGTAGGTTGGTTGGACTCCCAATGCCGCCGCGAGTTCTCCATAGGAATGCGTCGAAATTCCCAGAGCCACGTGTTTGGCACGCAGCTGATCCAATCCTCCCGCTTTTTGGCATTGGGCCAAATCTTCTTGTCCCACATGGACCCCAAAGCAACCTGCTTCCATGGCAGCTTGCCAATGATCGTTGATCCACAATCGGACGTTGTGAGGAGCACAGAGACGCTGACAATGCTGGACGCGTTCGAGAATTTTGGCAGGATCCGTTTCATCCTTGATGCGAAGTTGGATATCGGTGATTCCCGGAGTGCCGGCCAACCGTTCGACCCAGTCGACGGTATCAACAATGGGAAGGATGCGACCCAGTGTTGGAATATCATCATTCGTGTCATCAGTGTCGTCATCCAAAGAATAGGCTTTCATGGCAGGAAAGGGAGCGGCAGATGATTGCGTGGGATTGGCGACAATGGTGGGAAAGTGTTGGTAGGAATCGGGAAAGCGTGTCTGCCCCACGGGCCCGGGTCCTTGTCCGTATCGGATGCCCGCTTGGATTCCCGCCGATACATATGCTTTGGCCAAGCAGCAGGCATCGACAATGCCCATGGCCTTGGTGGCTCCCTGTGGTAGTGTGGATTGTTGTTGTTGTTGTCGATGTTGTTCTCCGAGCGCCAATGCTGCCGCCATGGACGATGACAGGGTGCATCCAGTTCCGTGTGTATTGTCCGTGTCCCATCTTTCGGAGATCATAGTTATAGTAGCAGACGATTAGTTAAGTGAATGTCAGACAGCATGTAATGATCCAATTTCCATTTCCAATATTTTACATACCGTTTGGTTCGCAACCACACCCCTTGGGATGCATCGCAGAGTCGTTCGTCTCCTGGAGCGGGTGCTGGTTCGGCGGAGAGCAGATAATCCTGTGCATATTGCAGAGTGGCTTTGACAGCTGTAGGCGCTTCTGAGGGTGACGATGGTGATGCCGTGGGTGCTTCCACCAAGGTATGACCTCCCTTGATCAAGACAGCCTTGCAACCCAACTGTAGCAATTCCTTGGCAGCCTGTTCGACATCTTGTGGTGTCTTGAGTTGTCTTCCGACCAATGCTTCTGCCTCGTACTTGTTGGGTGTCAGCACATGTGCCAGTGGGAACAATTGCGTTTTCAAGGCGTCAATGGCATCATCTTCCAATAATTTGGATCCGGACGTGGAAATCATGACGGGATCCAGGACAATCCACACATTCTGCTGCTGAAGACGCGTTGTGAGTGTCTCGGCCACCACGGTCGCCAATTCCCGTGTCCCCAACATGCCAATTTTGACCGCCACGGGGGGTAGATCGCTGGCGAGACAGTCCAACTGTGCCGCCAAGAATTCCGGAGGAGGAGCATGGACGCCCGTGACGCCTTGCGAATTTTGTGCCGTCAAGCAGGTAATGGCGGAACATCCATGCGCCCCCATGGTGTGCAGAGCGTGCAAATCTGCCTGAATTCCGGCACCACCACCCGAATCACTTCCGGCAATCGTGTAGACAATCGGCCGTTTCATAGTACTGCTAATCGTAGCAGTAGAATCCGCAGGAGTGGCAGCAGCAAAGGCAGATGCAGCAGAGAGACACCATGAGGAAGGCAGTATACCCAACAGCCAAATCAGAACCCAACGAAAGCACAACTGCATCAAAATCCGAGCTACTGACCCTGAGGAGGACATACTCATAAAAATGTATCTACTAGTATCAAGCTACGTTGTATCTCGGCTATTGCTTCTCGTGGCTTTCGTGGTATTATAATGGAGATCGCCTCTCTGCCATGGTCATACTGATAGTTTGGTGGCTGGGACGAGTTGTCGGTTGGATCTTTTGGATCTTTTGGATCTTTTCGTTGATTGTATGACGTCATCCAATAATTACCCATAACGCTACCGCTACTCTCAAGTTTGGGAAATTGCTTGTGTCACGCGGTCACGCGTCGATGGATCGGAACAACCATGGATGCACCGCGACGGCACCAAAGAAGCCACATGTACAGCTACACTCTCAGGAGGCCATTGTGGCGGTGAGCAGACTCAATGTGGAAACCCCTGGGCCTCCACTCGTCACTCAGAGCCACAGCTCAAAAGACTCTAAAGGGGTTTTCTAAAGAGGACCTCTTGGTTATCTGGGGGAGCCAGCGACGGCCAGGCACATGCAAAGAAGAGTCGTAACTACAATAGCTCTTGTATGATGTATTCAAGTTCCTTAGAAGATTCTAGCTAGACAAAGACTTAGACTACATTCATCATCATTCAATCCGCAACGTGAGTGGTTTCTCTTGTGCCTTCCATGTAATTGTCCTCCTGATACCACATTCGTTTCTCAGTAATAACGCTTATTGGAAGTCTCCCAATGAAAGGGACGGTAAGTAGACCGATCACGTTCCGATGGTTGCCCCGTCAGACTTCGCACGTTATCGTACCGAAATGGACCGCGACCATCCTCTTCAATGTTGGTCACAGCCAAGTCGCGAATGAGCCCATCCACGTCCGTGTCGTCATTCTGCTGAAAATAGCGAGAAGCAGACTCTTTGTTTTCTTCCATTCGTTCGAACAACTCCTCCAGTTCTGCCGAGACAAATGCCTTTTGATATAGAAGCTCGTCGTCGACGGCGTCCAACCCCACAATCTTCAACAAGACGAAAAGGGTATGCTTGCAAGCATCTTGTTTCTTTTGGTAGTCGGGGCATGTGCACGAGGGAACCTTTCCAATGGTAGTCGTGTATACGTTTCCAGTCGATCCAGCAACCCGAAACTTACACTGAAGCTTCTTGACGGATCCTTGCTTTAAAATCTTCATGTCCTCCTTGTTGGCCCGACGGATGCGTTCCTTTACCGGAATGGGACACTTGGAACGCCATCGCTTCTCGCGCTTCTCCTGGCTGTTCTTAGAAATGTTCGTGGGCATGATGATACGTTTGCTTGGGGTGTGGGGAGCTACTACCTTTGGAACTAATAATAGTTTTGTGAGAGGAATTTGCTATGATAACTGCAAACGAAAATGAGACGATGACTGAACGCGTAACGCCACAAGACTTGGCGTTGGCGAGACCACGACCGCAACGACGAGCCTCGAGTTTTCATGAGAAACGAATTTAGAATTCTGCAAGCAGACATCGCTCAATCCATTCGCATCTTCCGTCGAGTCGTTGCTTTGGTGTCCCTTGCTTTCATTATTTCGTGGGTTTCTAATAAGGATCATATCAGGTAGCGTAGGTTACGATCAATGCCGACAGGCTAGGCGCG